ACCCCTGCTCCAAAGAAATGCTGGTAGGTGGATTGGCTCCCATCTAAATTGGCCCTAGTATGTGTATGTATGAATGTGAGTTAGGGACCTTAGATTGTACACCCCTTGAGGGTTAGGGACTGATGTGAATGTACAATATATATGTAAAGTGCTGCGTAAATTGATGGCGCTATATAAGTACCTGAAACAAATAAACATACATTCAAAAAGGCTACGTTCACACTAGCGTTGTGTGCAGGCGGCAGAGAGGCGTTTGGGAAGCGTTTTTTTAACGCTGCCAATTCTGCACATTGCAGCACATGGTGCTGTTCTAACAGGAGCGTTAGCGTCGTGGCAAAACGGACGCCTCTGGACAAGTCAGGAGGCGTTGAAGCCTCCTATTCTAGTCCATGGTGCCGCTCCGCAAACCCCCGGCCGGCGTTTGCGGAGCGGTAACACCATTTAAACTTCATTATAGGTGTTTGCGGAGCGTTTTCAATGCTCGGCAAACGCCTAGCAACCGCCGATAAACCGCGCATGCAGCGTTTGCGGAGCGTTAAAAATGCTCCGCTAACGCCGGACCAACGCTTGACAAACGCTATAGGGGCGTTTGGCAAGCGTTGGTAAAACAGTCAAGTGTGAACGAGCCCTTAGACCTTCGGTCCCTAATAATATGTGTATGTTTATATATATATATATATATATATATATATATATATATATACAGCACAGTGGCTTAGTGGTTAGCAAGTAAATGGGTCATGGGTTTGATTCTTGACCATGGCGCCTCCTGCATGGCATTTGCATGTTCTCCTTGCGCTTGCGTGGGTTTCCTCCAGGTGCTCTGGTTTCCTCCCACACTCCAAAGACATGCTGGTAGGTGAGTTGGACCCCGTCTAAATTGTCCCTAGTATGTGTATGTATGGATGTGAGTTAGGGACCTTAGATTGTACGCCCCTTGAGGGTTAGGGACTGATGTGAATGTACAATATATATACAGTCAGGTCCATAAATATTGGGACATCGACACAATTCTAACATTTTTGGCTCTATACACCACCACAATGGATTTGAAATGAAACGAACAAGATGTGCTTTAACTGCAGACTGTCAGCTTTAATTTGAGGATATTTACATCCAAATCAGGTGAACGGTGTAGGAATTACAACAGTTTGCATATGTGCCTCCCACTTGTTAAGGGACCAAAAGTAATGGGACAGAATAATAATCATAAATCAAACTTTCACTTTTTAATACTTGGTTGCAAATCCTTTGCAGTCAATTACAGCCTGAAGTCTGGAACGCATAGACATCACCAGACGCTGGGTTTCATCCCTGGTGATGCTCTGCCAGGCCTCTACTGCAACTGTCTTCAGTTCCTGCTTGTTCTTGGGGCATTTTCCCTTCAGTTTTGTCTTCAGCAAGTGAAATGCATGCTCAATTGGATTCAGGTCAGGTGATTAACTTGGCCATTGCATAACAGTCCACTTCTTTCCCTTAAAAAACTCTTTGGTTGCTTTTGCAGTCTGCTTTGGGTCATTGTCCATCTGCGCTGTGAAGCGTCCAATGAGTTGTGAAGCATTTGGCTGAATATGAGCAGATAATATTCCCGAAACACTTCACAATTCATCCGGCTGCTTCTGTCAGCAGTCACATCATCAATAAATACAAGAGAAGCAGTTCCATTGGCAGCCATACATGCCCCCGCCATGACACTACCACCACCATGATCACTGATGAGGTGGTATGCTTAGGATCATGAGCAGTTCCTTTCCTTCTCCATACTCTTCTCTTCCCATCACTCTGGTACAAGTTGATCTTGGTCTCATCTGTCCATAGGATGTTGTTCCAGAACTGTGAAGGCTTTTTTAGATGTCGTTTGGCAAACTCTAATCTGGCCTTCCTGTTTTTGAGGCTCACCAATGGTTTACATCTTGTGGTGAACCCTCTGTATTCACTCTGGTGAAGTCTTCTCTTGATTGGTGACTTTGACACACATACACCTACCTCCTGGAGAGTGTTCTTGATCTGGCCAACTGTTGTGAAGGGTGTTTTCTTCACCAGGGAAAGAATTCTTCGGTCATCCACCACAGTTGTTTTCCGTGGTCTTCCGGGTCTTTTGGTGTTGCTGAGCTCACCGGTGCGTTCCTTCTTTTTAAGAATGTTCCAAACAGTTGTTTTGGCCACGCCTAATGTTTTTGCTATCTGTCTGATGGGTTTTTTTGTTTTTTCAGCTTAATGATGGCTTCACTGATAGTGACAGCTCTTTGGATCTCATCTTGAGAGTTGACAGCAACAGATTCCAAATGCAAATAGCACACTTGAAATGAACTCTGGACCTTTCATCTGCTCATTGTAATTGGGATAATGAGGGAATAACAGACACCTGGCCATGGAACAGCTGAGAAACCAATTGTCCCATTACTTTTGGTCCCTTAACAAGTGGGAGGCACATATGCAAACTGTTGTAATTTCTACACCGTTCACCTGATTTGGATGTAAATACCCTCAAATTAAAGCTGACAGTCTACAGTTAAAGCACATCTTGTTCGTTTCATTTCAAATCCATTGTGGTGGTGTATAGAGCCAAAAATGTTAGAATTGTGTCAATGTCCCAATATTTATGGACCTGACTGTATATGTGTAAAGTGCTGTGTAAATTGACAAGGCTATATAAGTACCTGAAATAAATAAATACATTTGGATGATCAGGATTTAACACCCCAGTCACACTGAATGCGAATTGGCATACGTTTTAAAAATCACTGGACCACACCATGCCGCTGTACCAGTGTCCCGCGATCCCCTGCTGTCAGGCACCAGGACACCAGTTCACCAATCTGGGGATTTGAAATCCTCCTGGCTTTCTCTCTTCCCAGCATTGACAGGATGGGCCAGACAGATTCTGATTGGTCAGCGCCATCCATGTGATGCTGGTGCGGACCAATTAGATGCCTCATGTCTGTGCGCACTGAGAGGTACAGATAGGAGATTAAGCCGCAGGGATTTCAAATTCCCAGACAGGTGAAGCGGTGCCTGACAGCAGGGGACCGCGGGACACTGGTACAGCGGGACCAGGGGGGGTGGGGAGAGGGTCCAGTGTAAAGTCACATTACAGAATTCTGAACTTACACTTTAAGGTTTCTTCTTTTATTGTCATGTGGTGATCTGGCCGGTAAGTCTGTTTTTCAAAAGAACAAACTCTCCAGCACAATATATCACAGCTGCTGTTAGAAACCATGGGGCCCCATACAGCCAACCTGACAGGGCCCCCTCAAAAAAAAAAAAACACACACAGTTTACTATGCTTCACTTATGAATGAACACAATAAGTGATCGGCACTAATCCCTTATTGCAATCATTCAGGATAGTCTCCATCCTGAAGGAACCTTTTGCATGACTGCAGTTGCCGGTGGAAAGGAGAGGAGGGAAGTCAGCAGGAGTGGGGGCACACAGGGGGCCTGGGCAGCAAAGGGAAACATATGGAGCACAGGGAGGGTGATGGGTGCACCGGGGGGGGGGTGAATTACTGAAATCAATCCCCTGTATGGCTCTCTCTGCAAAAAATGAAAGCCAGCGGGAGGGAAAGGAGAAGAAGCCAGCTTTCAGCTGCTGCAGAGGGAGTCATGCAGGGAACTGATTCCAGTAATTGTCCCCCTGCCATGTCGATCACCTTCCCTGCCCACAAATCTGATTCACCCAGCTGCCTGGGTCCCCCTGCTGGCCTGGGCCCCGTACAGGAGGACTGGTGGTACTCCCTTATCCAGGGCCCTGCCTACAGGTAAGCTTTAAGTCGCACCCTATTGTCCACAATCAGAGCTGCTGTTAGAAACCACGGGGCCCCATACAGCCAACCTGACAAGGCCCCCCCAAAAAACACACAGTTTACGATGCTTCTGTTATGAATGGACACAGTGAGTGATTGGTACCGATCGCTCATTGTATTCATTCAGGAAAGGAAGGGACTGGTAAATGCTAAATATTTAGTGGACCCTCCCCCCCCACTCCATTCTGAAGGCTCCCATTGTGCGCTAGCAGCTACGGGTGGGAAGCCAGCAGCACTGCGGGGTGGGGGCACTCAGGGGGGGCATGGGCAGCAGAGGGAAACGTATGGTGCACAGCGAGGGTGATAGGTGCGGCAGGGGGGCAATTACTAAAACAGATCACCTGTATGGGTCTCTCTGCAGCAGCTGAAAGCCAGCAGGAGGGAGAGGAGAAGAATCCAGATATCAGCTGCTGCCCACACCTGGTTCACCCAGCAGCATGGGCCCCCCAGGCTGGCTTGGGCCCCGTGCAGGAGGACTGGTGGTACCCCTTTATCCACGACACTGTCCCCAATTGCAGCGGTTATATCGGTGCGGTTCCGACTTGGTTGGAGCTGATTTCCAAAGTAGTACATACACTACTTTTGGTGCGATTTGCATAGACATCGGTGTCAGATGTCTTGCACATCGCACCTGAAATAGGCAGTTAACCCAACTTTGAAATCGCGCAACTTCACTGTAAGTCGCACAATTTCAAAGTCTGGTTTGATGTGACTGGGGTGTTAGGTCACTTATTTGCCACTACAAATGGCTCTGAGCAGTGGCGTCCCGAGGCAGGTGCGGGGGGGGTGCGGTCCGCACTGGGTGACACCGACCGCACAGGGTGACACTGGACCCGTTCCACGAAAAGGTAAGTTGTAAATCAAGCCGACGATCCCCGCAGGATCCTGCAGGAATTGTCGGCATGCAACCTATACGGGATGACAACGGTGTAGCGGCAAGATGTGTCTCCCATGTAGACATGTCCCCCCTAAAGTAACTGTGCATGTCCCAGTTTCAGAGGTCAGAAAAAAGTAAAAAAAAGTCTTATCTGTTCAAAACTCTTTATAAAGTGCACTTTAACCACCTCCCGCCCGCCATATAGTCCAATGACGGGCGCAAGGTGGTTCTCTCGTTCTGATAGGACATCATATGACGTCCTACCATTCTCACTGCGCATGCGCAACTCTGGGGAGTGCACAGCGCGGCGATCGGCGGTGCACTGTGTCCCTCGGACACAGCAGCTCACCGATCCATGGAAAAAGTCGAAGATGTCGGCTCGGTCATGTGATCAGCTGTGTCCAATCACAGCTGATCACATGTAAACAGGGAAATGCCGGTTATCGGCATTTCTCTCCTCTCGAGCTGTCACGCTGACAGAGGAGAGGAGAGCCGGAAACCGGCATTCCGCGGAGGGGACATGTACACTGATCATCAGGGCACTGATGATCAGTGTGCCCTGATGATCAGTGTGGCCCCAGAAGTGCCACCTGTCAGTGTCCTTCAGTGCCAGCTGTCAGTGCTGAACAGTGCCATATCAGTGCCTACCAGTGCATATCAATGCCACATATCAGTGCCCATCTGAGCTGCCTTTCAGTGTCGCCCATCAGTGCCAGTCAGTGCCACCTATCAGTGCTGCCAATCAATGCCACCTATCAGTGCTGCCAATCAGTGCCACCTATCAGTGCCAGTCAGTGCCGCCTATCAGTGTGCATCAGTGCCGCCTATCAGTGCCAGTCAGTGCCACCTAATAGTGCCAGTCAGTGCCGCCTATCAGTGCCAGTCAGTGCCACCTATCAGTGCCGCCTATCAGTGCCATATATCAGTGCTGCCTTTCAGTGCCCATCAGTGATGCCTGTCAATGCCCATCAGTGCCACCTACCAGTGCCACCTATCAGTGTCCATCAGTGCAGCCTCATTAGCGCACATCAGTGAAGGAGAAAAATCACTTATTTACAAAATTTTATAACAAAAACTAAGAAAAAAATTTTTTTTTTAATTTTCTGTGTTTTTTGGTTTGTTTAAGAAAAAATAAAAAACCCAGAGGCGATTAAATACCACCAAAATGAAGCTCTATCTGTCACAAAAAAATGATCAAAATGTCATATGGGTACAGTGTTGCATGACCGCGCAATTGTCATTCAAAGTGTGACAGCACTGAGAGCTGGAAATTGGCCTGGGCAGGAAGGGGGTATAAGTGCCCGGTAGGCGAGGGATTAAAGGCATAAATACTGTACAGGGACATGATTAAAAAAAAAAGATCGTAAATGCATTGAAAACCAATTAATCCGTTAGTATTGTGAAAAAAAATTGTAAACCGAGACATTATTTTCAATGGATTTTCATTCGTAAACCGAAAATGACATTAACCACTTGAGCTCCTGAGGATTTACCCCCCTTAATGACCAGGCCTTTTTTTGCTGTTTGGCACTGCACTAATTCAAATGATAATTGCGCGGTCATGCAATGCTGCACCCAAACGAAATTTACGTCCTTTTTTTTCACACAAATAGAGCTTTCTTTTGGTGGTATTTTATCACCTGTGCGCTTTTTATTTTTTGCGCTATAAAAAAAAAAAAAACCCAAATTTTGAAAAAAAACAATATTTTCTACTTTCAGCTATAAAAAATATATCGTAAACTCGAAGTTAGTCATAAATTTAAGCCAAAATGTATTCTGCTACATGTTTTTGGTAAAAAAAATCCTGTGCATTAGCGGGCAAACTGGCGCTATCTGGGAGGGGCACTAACATTATCAGAAGTCACCAGTGACACTGATACAGTGATCAGTAAAAATCTGTTCACTGATCAATGACACTGGTGACAGGGCAGTGAAGGGGTTAACTCGGGGGGGGGGGGCCATCAAGGGGTTAGACGGGATTACTGGTGTATTATCGGGCAATCTGGCGCTATCTGGGAGGGGTGCTAACACTATCGGAAGTCGCCAGCGACACTGATACAGTGAGCAGTAAAAATCGGTTCACTGATCAGTGACACTGGTGACAGGGCAGTGAAGGGGTTAACGGGGGGGGGCAATAAAGGGGTTAAACGAGATGACTGGTGTACTGGCGGGCAAACTGGCGCTATCTGGGAGGGGAGCTAGCACTATCGGAAGTCGCCAGCGACACTGATACAGTGATCAGTAAAAATCGGTTCACTGATCAGTGACACTGGTGACAGGGCAGTGAAGGGGTTAACGGGGGGGGGCAATAAAGGGGTTTAAACGAGATGACTGGTGTACTGGCGGGCAAACTGGCGCTATCTGGGAGGGGCGCTAGCACTATCGGAAGTCGCCAGCGACACTGATACAGTGATCAGTAAAAATCGGTTCACTGATCAGTGACACTGGTGACAGGGCAGTGAAGGGGTTAACTGGGGGGGGGGGGTGGCGATCAGGGGGTTAAATGTGTCTTAGAGTGTTCTAACTGTGGGTATGTGCTGTTTTACTCACAATTTGTATGTCTTCTTCTCTGTCTGGAACGGAATGTGTCCAGGCAGAGAAGAATGACATCATATCCTGTCCTGTGTAACTGTCAACACAGGACAGGATAGGACAGGGACCGATCATCTGATTTCAGCCAGACATCACTGGCTGAAATCGACTGATTGATCCCTCCGGGATCAAATGGTGTCACCCGCGGGTCGGCAGGAGCGCGCGCGCGCCCCTGCCCGCGAAAACGTCTGGAGCGCTGAGCCCGTTTTAAAACGTGCTTTTGCGCCCCAGGGCCGCCCTGCACACGTATATATGCAGTGGCAGGGCGGCAAGTGGTTAACCAAGGCGTTCGTAAACCGAAGAATTTGCAAATGTGTGCAACTAAGCCCCTTGTTTTCAACGTGAACTGTTAGACAGGGCCATTTTGGTTTTGTAGGCTGGCTGGTAAGTGAGCTGAAAGTTGTTGTTTGTTTTTGATGTGCGTCGCCCTTCCATGTGCTCCTTGTTGCAAAGGCCAGTTATAGGTTGGAGCGGTTGCCATTTTTTTTGTAATTTCCTCGTCAGACCGCTCCTAAAATCTGTTTGGATCATCGCTCAGTTCACCGACATTCAAATATTCCAGAAATAGGGTGCACAGAGTATTTTTAGCGCTGAATCCACTGTAATAATAACTGAAGAACCCGAGGATTTGTAATTAGCTCTAATTGCAGAGTTGTGTGATGTGTTCCATGTACTGAGGAAGAATAAACACTGGCAGCTTGACAGGCTATTTACACACATGAACGAGTGTTTGCCACTGCCCACCATAGTATTACCTACCTAAATAACTGATGACAGGCAGCTGTCAATGCGGGGAAGGCTCCCGGCAACAGGAAAGGTGAGTCCCAGGATTAATTAGGATTATTTACTGAGGGCAGAACTGAAATATCGCCACACAAACACAGTAATTTAATATGACTGACACTGCGACCCCGATGACGTATATTGCCATCGAATAACGAATATGTAAAATATATACAGATATAGAATGTGCAATGTATCATTTGCATCATTTCAGCAATACAGATGAACTATATTGCCAGAAGTATTGGGACGTCTGCCTGTATACACACACATTATTATTATTATACAGTATTTATAAAGCGCCAATAGTTCGCTCAGCGCTGTACATTACAAAGGGGGACAGAACATGTGACAGAACAATACAATACAATGCAAAACATGAGGGGATTGAGGGCCCTGCTCTTTCGAGCTTACAATCTAGGAGGGAGGGGATGAACTTTAATGGCATCCCAGTCTTAGTCCGTAGGGTTCAATATTGAGTTGGCCCCTGCCCTTTGCAGCTATAACAGCTCCAACTCTTCTGGGAAGGCCGTCCACAAGGTTTTAGGAGGGTGTCTATGGGAAGGTTGGACCATTCTTCCAGAAGCACATTTGTGAGGTCAGGTACTGATGTCGGGGGAGGAGGCCTGGCTCACAGTCTGTGCTCTAATTAATCCCAAAGGTGTTCTATGGGGTTGAGGTCAGGACTCTGTGCAGGCTAGTCAAGTTCCCCCACCACACAAACTGGCTCCTCCATGTCTTTATGGACCTTGCTTTGTGCACTGGTGTGCAGTCATGTTGGAACAGGAAGGGGCCATCCCCAAACTCTTCCCACAAAGTTGGGAGCATGAAATTGTCCAAAATGTCTTGGTATGCTGACGCCTTAGGAGTTCCCTTCAATGGAACTAGGGGGCCAAGCCGCACCCCTGAAACACAACCTCACACCATAATCCCCCCCCATCCACCAAACTTACATTTGGCACAATGCAGTCAGGCAAGTACCGTTCTCCTGGCAACCACCAAACCCAGACATGTCCATCAGATTGCCAGACAGAGAAGTGTGATTCATCACTCCAGAGCAGGAGCGGACTGACCATTTAGGCACTCGGGCACTGCCCGAGGGCCCAAGGTCAGTAAGGGGCCCCATGAGATGCCCTTTGTACCTTTCATAGGCTTTTTTGGGTGTGGTTTGAGAGTGGGCAAGGACACAGTGGCCCCATGATTTCCTATTGTCCGAGGGCCCCATGATTTCCTATTGCCCGGGGGCCCCATGACTTGTCAGTCCGCCCCTCCTCCAGAGAACACGTCTCCACTGCTCTAGAGTCCAGTGGCGGCGTGCTTTACACCACTGCATCCGACGCTTTGCATTGCACTTGGTGATGAAAGACTTGGATGCATCTGCTTGGCTATGGAAACCCATTCCATGAAGCTCTCTACGCACTGTTGTTTTGGTAATCTGAAGGCCACACCACGTTTGGAGGTCTTTAGCTATTGACTCTGCAGACAGTTGGTGACTTCTGCGCACTGTGCACTTCAGCATGTGCTGACCCCGCTCTGTCATTTTATGTGGCCTACCACTTGGTGGGATTATTACAAAGTGGAAGCAACTGGGAACAACAGCAACTCAGCCACCAACAGTTGGCGTGGAATATTTAGTAGCCAGGAAATGTCACGGATGGACTTATTGCACAGGTGGCAACCTATCAGGGACCACGCTTGGAGTCACTGAGCTCCTGAGAGCGACCCATTCTTTCACAAATATTTGTAGAAGCAGTCTGCATGCCAAGGTGCTTGGTTTTATACTCCGGTGGCCATGAAGGTGATTGGAACACCTGAATCCAATGATTTGGAGGGATGGCCCAATACTTTTGGCAATATAGTGTATGTTGGAGTCTGTTTTGAACATTTTAAAATGGTTAAAGTGTCAAGCCAAAACTTTTTTTTTTATATATATCTATTTATTGCTGTCTGTGTGCCATTTGAGGAAGTTCACTTTAATTCCTGTTCCAGAGACTCAACAGGAAATGAGAGGGAATCTCTACAAAGTAGACAGTTGTCACCACAACAGTTGTCCCCTTTGGAAGATTTCTTGTTCCAGCATATAATCAAAATTTTGGGGGGATTTACCATCACTTTCTGTAAAGGAGACAATAGACTAATGGTAAAGGTGAATCGATCAGGCTTTGTGGTTGAGGGCAGGAAGAATAAGCAATTGAACTTCATTTTTACCACCCCATCTTCCCCTTAAAGTGGAACTTCACCCCAAATGGGAAATTCTACTTTACAACCTCCCCCTCCTCTTTAACTTTTAGGCACTTTTTTGGGGGGGAGCGGATATCTAGTTTTGATAGCTATCATCTCCCACTGTCACTTGGATCATTTAGGCAATCTAAGCGGACGTTCAGCCCCTCATTCTTTGCTTGCAGCCTTCTGGGACACATCACAGGTCCCAAAAGGCTGTGGGA